GAAAACTGCCTCAAGACTCAAGAATGTTAGGACTTGAGAGAAAATAGATTGATTTCACTCAATGCCAGAAGCTTAGGACATTCAAAAAATCACTCTAATTTTCTTCAAAACTCTTTTGAGAAAGGCATGAATGAGTTACCATCAGATTCTCAGAGTCTGTCGACCCAAAAACTTGTAGTATTTTATTCAGCTCATAGTTCTGGTTTCATAGACAAAGATGTGGAAGGTTAGAGAGGTTAATTGGCTACAAGAAAGGCAACCTCTTTAATCCACAAAATGAACCTATAGAATGTTCTTATTCTTGACTTGGGTATGAGTTGAGGATACAGGAATGAATTATGGCTCCATTTTTATGGTTCTTAAAGATGAGTACATGGAAGAGCAGTGTTGTGTAGCTAATAAGAGGAAACTTCCAAAACCGTGATGGGCAGGAAGAATATCATACAGACAATCCTCTCCTGCTGACATCTGTAAATGTCCAATTACAACATTTATATAGTCTGTCATCAGTCATCTGAAAAGTGAGTTGTCTAAATTCTGAGTGCCTAGCATGAGGACAGACATTACAAACAAAAAACAAACAAAAACAAATTAATTCAAAAATAATGCTATCCAAAGTTGAGGTGATGCCTTAACTTTCTCTGGAGACATGTAGATCATGAGAAAAGGGGCCAATCATAGACGAAAAGCAAAGTTCATAAGAGAACTAATGTTGGGACAGCATCTCCACATCCCATGGGATTGTATGTGCATGCACCACTGAGTTTTGGCTTATGTTTGTCTCAAGGCCGAATGCACACACAATGGGTACATCATTTATTCATTCACATATTTTTCATTCATATATGCCAGGCATCTTTATTACATATTGTAGCTTTGCCAGCTTGGGATACCCACTCGTGTTTCAAGGTCAGAGGCTTTGTCATTGGAAGAGTAGGCTAAAAGTGAGTTCTGGAGACATATTCTTCAAATTCAAATTCTATCTTCCTTCCTTACAGGCTAAGTTACTCTGCTACATCCACCTTAGTTCCTTTAAAATAATACTCATCACTTGAGGTGGTGAGGCTCAGTCAATAAAATCATGAAAAATGCTTGGCAAACTGTTTTTCCTGTGGTCATGCTAGAAGACAGTATTATGTTTCACTGATTCTCCTTCATTTCCACGAGAGACGGTAGATTGTTAATAGTTACTTGAATGAAGACAAATAATATTTTTACTATATTTTTGTCTTTTCTTTTTTGATATGGGATATTGTACTTTGCCACTAAGCTACATCACATCCTGAATAATAATAAGTTTTAAAAAGATTTACACGTTGAACTCATACCTTGGTATCAAACTCTAAAACAACAAAAGAAAATGACAAAATTGTATTTCCTATGTATGGTATAACAATGTTTTCATTAAGAAAATTTAAGTTTGGCAAAAGCTGTCTGCATTTAAACACAGGGGTCAAGGCTGGTCTGTAATAAATCATTACAGATCTACAGTTTGCAGGCTGCTTGGGGAGACAGCCAGTAAGCAAATCATTATGGGACAGGAAGATACATGATGTAGTACAGCATAGATAGAAAGCCAACTTTGGAGGTAGAAGAGGGGCTGACCTAAGCAGAGAAGCAGCCTTCCAGAACAAAAAATGTGCTGTCTGAGTTGAACATAATATCTGCAAGATTAGCTTTTCAGGAAGGTTTTAGTAAAACTTTTAACATCCTGTCCCCAAATACTCTGTGCTCTATAGAGAGCAGTAAATGTATAGCCTAGTCATCTCTCAGTGATTAATGGATTTGGAGATGGGTAAGACTAACAGGTATTACTAGGTCCTGAGGTCAACCTTCATTATTAATTTTTCCTTTAATTGTTATTCAATCTGTACCTTTCTTTTAAAAATATTTATTTAAAATGTTTTTGCTATCTTTAAGTAGTTGTACAAAGAGTTGTCATTCATCTAAGTAGTTTATGAATATAGTGCATCTTGATCACTGTCACCTCTTTCTACATTCTCACTCACCCCTCTCTACCCACCCCTTCCCTTAAGTATTTTAATTTTAGGTTATTTACTGAATTTTTTCCATTAAAAATATGTATAATTCATCGTGACCCATCTCATCACTTCAACATCTTCACACCACCCTTTGATCCACCTCTTCCTTCATATTTCTCATTTCTATGGTACATACCATGAATTCTTCCCTGTATTCTCCCCACTTACCTCTTTCATTTTTCTACCCTTTTCCCCTTGGTCCCACCTTACCCTCTTATAAGTACTCATTTTCTGGTATTTATTTTCTTGGGCTTTGATTTGAGCTATGCTTTTACCCAGCAATTCCATTCCTGGACATTTATCTAAAAGAGCACAAACAAAGGTCACACTAAAATTATCAGCACAACCAAGTTCATTGTACATTAATTACTATAGCCAAAATATGGAATCAGCCCAAATGCCCCTCAATGATTAAATGGATTGAGAGACTCTTGTATATATAGTCAATGGAATTTTACTCATTCATCAGAAAGAATGATATTATACTATTTCTAATGAAATGGAAAGACTTAGAAAAATATATTAAGCAAAGAAAGCCAGACCCAGAGAAACAAGCTGTATGGTTTTCCTTATTTGCAGTAGCTAGAATGTGCCTACAGGTAAACACACTGGGTGGCAAGCAATGGGTTGCAAATGAATTAAGTGAAGTATAGTACACTCTATGGAGAGTACAAATAGTGTGGTTCTTTATAAGGACCAAATTAAAGCCCAGTCTGTTCCTTTCAATTCCATTTCCTTCTGTGCATGACTTTGTAAGCTAAAACCAGTATGTCCAGGTTGGGAAATTGTGTGATTCAGTGATAAAATAGCGCTTATGATCCCTACTTTGTACCAGGCACAATTCTATAAACTTCTCATAATCAACAGACAAACTGCTAGGTACCATTGTCGCAGGCCTATCATTCTAGCTACTCAGCCTGAGATCTGAGGATCGTGGTTCGAAGATAGTCCAGGCAGGAAAGTCTGTGAGACTCTTATTCCCAATAAAAATGCTCAAGAAAAAGCCAGAAGTGGTGCTGTGGCTCAAGAAATAGAGCACTACCCCTAAGTACAAAGAAGTTCAGGGACAGAGCCTAGGCCTAGAGTTCAAACCCAAGGACTGGCAAAAAATGAACAACAACAACAAAAAATACAAACAACCAGATGATTAGGTACTTATTTATTTCCCACTGTACAACTGGGAACATTGATTCATGCTGAGTTATTAAGCTTGGTTTAGGGAAGAGGAATTGAAGAGTCTATATGCTCAAATGCTGTTTTTAGCTTCCAACTTACTACTTTTCCTGGAGGTCAGCACTTGCTAGAAAGTGAAGTAATTCAAGATCTCAAATTACTTGCAATTCTGCATTGTGAGTTTCTTACACTAAGGATAGCTTTCAGTCCTGCCTTAAATACTGGGGGTAGAGTGGTCCAGAGTGGTGTTTCACCTTTGGGATCAAGGATCATTTCTGTCCATCAGGTGATAACATGGTCAAATTAAATGTCCATTTCCTGATTAAAGCACAGAAAAGAGGGGATAATCATAGGTCATTTACATTGGCAAGAAATATCTGGCGTCTGATGGTGTCATTTATTCACTAGAAATGGTCTTCTTAGCTATATAGTTAACTTCTCAGTTCCATTAGTACTACCAATAACACCACCATCATTACCACCAATATTACCATTACTATTACCACTATCGCTATAACCACCAGAATTACTACCTGTACCAACACCACCACTATCACAGTACAATTACTACCACTATCATCACCACCACATCACACTACTATCACCAACACTGTCACCACCATAATTACTACCACTACCATCACCATCACTGTCACCATTGCTACCAGCACCATCACCACAACCACCGTTGCAACTCTCTCAATTGCTACCCGTATCACCATCTTTAAAACAATCACCATCATTACCTCTTCTACCACTACCAGAAGTATCACTACCACCATCACCATTGTTACTGCCATCATTCAATTATTTCATCATCAATCATAACTACTTCATTATTTCTTCATCATCAGTACTATTACTTCTAAGGGACTTCTATCTGACTTCCATGCATTTTTAATAGGCTGAAAGAGCCATGGAAGGTATTTAGAACAGAGTCAGAAGACAGAAGACAGTATGCTCTGATTAAATTAATTGAGTTTCTGCCACATGCACCGATGTCTCCTTCACTAAGAAAGCTAGTGTTCTTAGACAAGTTAGTACTTTTTCACTCAGGAGCAAAGTATACATACTTGGTATCACAAGCATTTATGACATGTCATAAAGGAAGGTTTTGGACTCCATAGAACATAGACCTCCTCCTTGCAGGAATGGAGATGCTTAGTAAAGCTCATGGCTACAGAGAGCCAGAAGGAAACAACTGAATCCACATTATAAAGCAGACACCCAGGGCATCAGCACAGATGATTATCTGTCAGAGAGGTGTCAAAGGCCTAGGTTTCTAGTCTGTTTTCTGAATTGTACAATAAGGATTAACTAGGGGTAAGAAAGCCTGGAATGTGAGTGTGTGTGTGTGTGTTTGTGTGTGTGTGTGTGTGTGTGTGTGTGTGTGGTTATATAAATATACACATATATATACATAGGTCCATACATACCCATATGTATACATGTATACACATATATTCATTTCATTACCATTTGATGGTTGTTACTGCTAATTATTTTTAGGCAAAATCTTGCTATGTAGCACAGGCTGGCCTAAAACTCAGAATCTTCCTACTTCAGTCTCCCAAATAGTGGGATTACCATTATTTACTACCATACCTATTTTGGTTTTCATTACTGTTAATGTGATCTCAGTACTTCAGAACAACAGTATAAATGTACTTTAGTATTTTTTCCATTCAGAATGACTTATAAGCCTTTCTCCCAATTCACTCAGGACTTTCTGTGCCTGTCACACATCTTCAATCCATCTTCTTCTTTGTTATTATTTGATTTCAGCTCCTTCTGAGATCATGTTTGCCATAGATGTTGGGAATGGTCCTGTAGAACTCATCGTCCAGTCTCCTTCTCTTCTTAATGACAACCAGTGGCACTACATCCGAGCTGAGAGGAATCTCAAGGAAACCTCACTGCAGGTGGACAGCCTTCCACGGAGCACCAGGCAGACTTCAGAGGACGGGCACTTCCGATTGCAACTGAACAGCCAGTTGTTTGTAGGTAGGGGACACCATAAAGCACCCTTTGGCTAAGCACCATACAAGACCACTTTGTGACAAAGTCTTCAGAGCCATATTATTGTAGAATAGGGGACACCATAAAGCACCCTTTGGCTAAGCACCATACAAGACCACCACTTTGTGACAAAGTCTTCAGAGCCATATTATTGTAAAATTAGAAAATAATTAAAATCTGTCATTACTTACAATGATAAATTATCTTCTGTAATTTGCTCCTTTTTAGCTTCCTCAACCTTAACAATAAAAGGCTATTATAATCCTCTTAACAAATTCAGGGATAGTTTTAACAGTTTTGTACTGTACAATGATATATATAATATATCATTGAGGAAACCCTTTTGTTTTTAATCATTGTATTGAAAATCTATATTTACAGGAAGGATTCATCAATTTCTCAAGTTCTTATACCTTTGTGGGTGTAGACTTCTATTCTAGCACTTTTACTGACTCTTAATAACCATTCCTAATGATGCAATCAAGTAGCTGAGAAAAGCCAAATGAATTCCAGTCCTCAGTTCTACGGTTAGGGGAAGAACTGTTAATATATGCACTAGGGAGCTTTTCTGGTATATTTTGAAACAATTTCAATTAGGTAGCTGCTTCACACTTTTACAGCAAAGCAGCCCTGAACCTGAACAGATGTCTCATGGTGTCCATTCCCTCTGTGAGATTAAAATGTTAGCTTGTTGTACTCAGCCACTACTAGTAGAGAGACTAGATGGGTATAATTTCCTCAGTTATTCCTTCCATCAGTGATTATAGAGCATCTACCACCAGTCCAGTAAGAAGTTCTGGTTGGATGATGGGAACTGAGGATAATTTGAGCAATGGATTCCTCTTCAAGAAGCTCATGGTAGTGGTGTGTGTGTGTGTGTGTGTGTGTGTGTGTGTGTGTGTGTGTGTGTGTGAGTGTGTGTGTGAGTAAGAGAGACACTGTTTCAGCGTGGTAGTCAAGATAATTGTGCTAACACAAATCTATTCCTATAGTCACAATTCAGTAAAGAGGGTTTGATTACTTCATTGATGCTTTAAGTTATAAAGTTCTTGCCTAGCTAGCACAAGGCCCAATGTTCCAGCCCTAGAGTCAACAAAACCAAATTTTTTTAAAATGAGTTTAGAAGGGCTTATAAAACTTTAAAATACAAAACAGAGCTTAAAATGTTAGGAATATGGCAATGTTTTAAAGCCATGAGTGTTCTCCTAAGTGACATTTAAGTTCAAATGCTTAGAATATGAATATACATAGTGATAGGATTTTCCAATGCAACCAGATTCAACTTTCTTTCTTTACTTTTATTTTTACCAACTCTGATATTGTATAGCTTTACTGCTAGCAATAAAATACCATTTCTATTCAATGGCTATTTCTTTTTATTTAAATTTTATTGTAAAGGTGATGTACAGCGGGGTTGGTTATGGTTACATAAGTTAGGTAATGAGTACATTTTTGAACAATGTTAACCCCTCCCTGATCTTCTCCCACTTTCACCCTCCTAACCCACCTCCCCAAGTGGCAGAGTTCATTTCCAACACAGTGTCTAGTGAGCATCTCTATAAAATTGGTTTGCCCTTTGTCCCACCATTTCTGTGATTCCCCTTCCCTTCCTCAAATCAGATATACTTATATTCAAGATGAAGGGTACAGAAATCAAAACCAGTGACATCAAAACTAAAGGAAAAAGAAAGAAAAAATAGGTAACTACAAACAGTACAACTAAAAAAATATCTTGTTTCCATTTCTTAGAGTTAATTTTGATACGCATCATTTTATATGATCATATGTGCATAGCTATTGAGCCATTGCGATCCTCTCCTAATAATATCCTAAGACATATTCTGGTTGTTATAAATGAGGGAAACCATACAGCCTATGTTTCTTTGGGTCTGGCTTATTTCAGTTAATATAATTTTTTTCCCAAGCCTTTCCATTTCTTTATGAATGGGGCAATGTCTCGATGGTCATTTCTTATCGGCTACCTTTAAAATGGGCTTTTAAATCTACGAAAAGCCATGAAAACTACATCAAGTTAAAAAAAGAAGTAATAGAATGAAAGATATCACGTTCTTTCATCTCCACATGGACCATGATCTGTTATCATTTGTTGTGTTTACAGAGTCAACAGAGGCAAAGCTATAAGTCATTAAAACATTTTTATTATTACAGATTTTTGCTTAATTAACAATCTACACAAGTGACATGATTTACTATTAAAATGTATTGTAAATTTGATGATATGCTTTTAGTTCTATTTAAACATTGCATTTTCTTTCTCTGAGGAGGTTTGCTGGTCATCATGATTTAATATCTTGTTTTAGTAGAATAAATTCAAGTATTGTGCAATTTTCATAAATTGTATTTTATGCCAAAGCCTAATTTGTCCTCAGAGAGAATTTATGAATCTTTCTGGAAGAAGGAGTATATAGTGATGGATATTTTTACCCTCTCATGCAAATTTCACTTAACTATCCAATTATCCTATGGACCAAATATCTGACAAACTTAGGGAGGCAGATGTGTTTCTAGATATATTTTACCTTCAGATATTTCAGTTAAGTTGATTACAAATCCAGTAAGCTGTAAGAGTAGACCAGTGGGACTACCTAGCTTGAGCTAGGGTAAAAATACCTATTGCCATTATCAGGTGTTATGGTGGCTTTAAAGAAATCAGTCTTAGTTTGCATTTGAAGAAGAAAACGTTGTTGGGTGTCAATTTTAGTCTGTTTGTTTCAATTTCCATGTTGAATGTTCAGATATATGCTATTCAGAAATGTCAGATAGCCAAAACTGCAAGTCACAACATTTTCATTCTGTATAATGCAATAAATAAACACAATTCTGCTTAGTTATAGGATCCTAAATGAAAAATTGTATTCTCTATCATTTAGGGATTTAGAGATAGTAGATATTTGTGTTTGGTAGGCAGGAAAAGGTATCATTTTCTGACTGGATTAGATTGAGTGTGGAATTACTTAAAAATCAATTTGGATATTACTGTCTATCTTTGGACATTGAAGAACCTTTCAGTCAAAGCAGAGAATGTTTCAACTATTGCAATCACCAGCTTGCTTCTGTGGTTATGAGAGTAGTAGACACATTTTATAAAACAAATGTGCCTTTCAGCACCACCCTTGTTATCACAATGTCATGGGTTGAAATCCCCATACATGAGTCATTGCATGCTGAGTTCCCAGAATCAATATTGTATCTCCAGACTGTTTTTTCACCAGTAGAATTAGGGACGTTTGTAACCATGTCATTTTGTTGCTTGCATTTTGTTTAGCTGAGTAGAGGAAACTTCACAAAATTCATCTTTCATAATGTATGTGATGTGTATATGGAATTTCCACCAGTAAGACTGTTACAGTGTCACCATTTCTGCTGTGTTATTTCCTTATCCATGGGTACATCAATATAGAAATTAGGCAAGACCAATCTGAAAGTCTACCACCCATTACTGGAAATACAAAGAAGAGGGCTACATCTGTCTTGTAGATCAGACTCCAAAGCTCCAGAATGAAAAGGTAGTCTGGAAATTGATATTCCAAGACTAGAATATCTGGAACCTGCAGCAGTCATTCAATAAATGCTTCTCCTTCATAACCAAGAAACTAAAATGTCACTCTCAAAGATGTTGATTCTAGAGTAGCAGTGACAGAGTCTGGAAAAATGAGTAGAGAGCAGTATGGAGAAAGGTTAGGTAATAGGGACAGTTAAGGGAAATTATGAATTCCAGTCTCCTACAGCATAAGATGACTATCTTTACAAATAATTTATTACATGTTTCCAAAATAGCAAGAAAAGATAAATTTAAGTGTTCCAACATAAATAAATAATATTTCCATCTTTAACTTGATGCTAATGATACTGAGCATTATACATTGTTTACATACTAAAAATAACGTTGTTTCCCATATGTGTGTGAGAGAGATTTTATGCATCAATTAAAACATTTTAAAACTATTAGTTCAATTGAAAAATGATAACCAACTGGTTCTTCATTACTTTTTCTTCCCAAATACCATTGAACTCCCAGAGTCAGATTCTTATAGCTTGAAAATGTTGTGATTGATCATGTTTTTATGCTCAGAGATGTTCTTCCCAAAGAGGTTGGGAGATAGATACACTGAATTCAATCTAATACTCTATTGAAATCTTTTCTGCCCCCTTTATTCAAGATACCTTTTCAAAAAGGTTTTCTACAAAATCTCTTCTCATTGAAACTCACTTTGTCATATGCCTGTCACTGTTGGAACCAAATGGAGATGTTGTTTCTTGCTTGGTTTAATTTTTATTTTTGACCCAAAGAGCACTAAGAATCCTACCTACTTTTGCAAAAGAACGTGTGGTATGGCCTTATTTTTTCGTACAGATCAGAGAAAGATCCTGAGAGTTATGCGACTTAAACTCAACGTTAGAAAGAATAATTCAGCTCCTCTAGCACATACAATTGTCCACATTTATAACTCAGAAAAGAAAAAGTTAGAATACTACCATTTGTGGCAAGGAAAGAGATGTTATAACTGTAAAAAAAAGAAACTCAAATCAGATTTATTTCTGGAAAAAGAAAAATACCCCTCCCTTATATATAGGGAACCACTGTGAAGTACAATAATGATGGGAAAAGTCATTTAGTCCTTTTCAAAGCCAAGGGCCATTGTAGGGATGTGCCTCACAACTCCAGGCTGGCAGAGAGTAGCCCCAGCGAGGCACACTGATGCCATATAGTTTTCTGGGGCTTCCTGAGCCTGTTTCCATATTTATATCATTGTCTTCAGGCTGAAGTCTCAAATAGGAAGACTAAGGACACCTTTCAGCAGAGTAATGAGTGGCATTAAGCAGTGAATCTACAAAGAGCTATTGAAAAATTTCCTTTCTGATCCTGGCAGAAAGAGCACTAGGTCTCAAAGCTACCACAGCAGGAAAGATGTTTTGGCAAAGGAGGAAGAAGGAAGATCCATGTTTTAATCCAGCTTCTGGCT